CGTGTATTATAACAAACTAATTAAAGCCTAAATTCAAAATGGGTTAAAAATTACGACGCGGACATGGCTTAAACCTGCAACCACAACATTATAAACTAAAGCCTACTAATTTATTTAGTAATAGTTAATAGCAAACCAAAAGACCAACCAATAAAAGACACACACACACTCACAGTGGCTTTAATACTTGACCATTGCGAGTCATCAGTGTGGACCTAGAACAACGATCAAACTTATCTGATCGTAACGCGTTTTAAACATTATACATGGTGCTCCCTTATTGAGAAAAATTATAAATGATTTGACTTGTGAAAAAGAAAACGAGGCAACTAAATTGGCTAAGCGAAACGTTTTAACATGCAAACGGCCTAACCAATTTCGATAACATTTTACGTCAATGCCTTTAGCCTGTCTGTAGTTTACGCGTGTAGTACACATTTAAATAAAACACTTTAACGGTGTAAAACGCGATATATATATTAGTTAAATTTATTGACACACCTCCATCTTTTGTCTCCCCGTGACCACAGCTGCTGTAAAGCATCCGGAAAGTTGGGCCGTTACATGAAAGTGTTTTATTTAAATGCCCAGCCTCTAATAATATTAAAAACAATGCGTAAGTACATCTAATCTATACCTACAAATATTATAAGGCTGAAGGTGTTTGTTCAAACGCGCTAATCTCAGTAACTACTAGTTCAAATGTGTTTGTGTTGACAGAACTATTTACTAAGAAAGGTTTTATATATCATCACGCTGCAACCAATAGAAGCGAAGAAACAGTGGAAAATGTGGAAAAACGGGGAAAATCGTAAACGATCTAAAAAAAAAATGTCATCGACAGTATACATTTATCGTGTAATATTAACTGTTTTTATAACAAACAATTTGGTAATACAAATTTGGTCAAAATAATGCATTATTTCCAAATACCCGTTAGAGTTGTATCAACATAATAATACTAATTTTGCAAACAACAGAACAGCGTTTGCCGTAACAGCTAGCATTATACTTTACAAATTTTTTAAGTATCTTAAACCATTTTCCCAGCGTACGCATCGGAAACTCACAAAGGTGATGAATTTTCCCCGTTTGTCTCCACATTTCCCATTATTTCTTCGCATTCCTATTAGTCACAGCGCGATGTTTTATATTCTAAAGCCTTTATCAATAAATGCTCTAACCAAAACAGAATTTTACAATTCGAACCCGTAGTTCCTGAGATTAGCGCGTTCAAATAAACAAAATCTTTATTTTTAAAATTGGTTGAAGATAAATGGACTTACTAATACATAAAATTAATTAATGCCTAATCAAGTTTTAGGTTTAGCTTTAAACTGGAAATAGATTAAAAGACGTAGGTGTTGCCATCAATTAATGGAGAACTGGTAACGCGATATAACGGCGTTTTAGCTCATTAGGTAATGACACACAGCTGTTGTTGTCACTCAGTAGCGATAAATTATAGAGCTTCTTTTTTTAATGAGAATTTATTTCCATAGACTGCAGTTTAGTATTCAGAACTATTTTTATGACAAACAATCCTCCAGCCATATTACATCTATTTTGGCTTTGAATATTCGGAAATCTACAGACTGAAACGCCATAAAACTTCACGCATTTTTCATCTATGATTCGTGATTTTTCCTCAATTTTGATGTTCCCACAGAATATTATAGACAACAAAGTAAAAATGGTTTAGAAATAGTGATAAATTTTCTAACTGTTTATTTAATCTACTTATTGTGTAGAATACGAAGTAATTACTCACAATATTATTAAAAAATATGTCACAGGATTCAAACTCGCGGCTACCTGTTGCTAAAAGTTGTATTAGTCGATATGGTATTTATTAACATGAGAAAGAAAACTGCAAAATAGTAAATACTGTCTATAGTTTACGCGAGTAGTACACATTTAAATAAAACACTTTAACGGTTTAAAACGCGATATATTAGTTAAACTTATTTGAAAATGATTTTTAACTTCGGCCCGGGTTTTTTTTATTATTTTCATGAATCGTGATATCCTACAAAATGTTATATCATTTAGCGAAATAGTTGGTTCGAAACGACTCAAATTTTGCACCAACTGTTTCAAAACTTACATTTTAGAGAGCTTTGTGCTAAACTTGCGTTATTAAATTTCTGAAATGGTTCAAGTTGCCTTTATCCTCGCTACCTGGGTGCTCAGAACTTTCTTATTAAAATTTTAAACTCTTTTGTGCACTTAAATTTTAATAATCTTGCGAGATAGTTTTTGCTTTTGCAATTTATATGTAAGAAATGCAAAATATTGCATTAAATGAGATTTTTTTATTATCTTTGAGATGGTACACTGTCTTAGTCGCAGTACCAAATTCATTTTTTCAACAATCTCACGGCTATTTTTCTATAAACATTTTAATTTACTAACCATTAAACAATGGTATAAAAATAAAAGTAACGGATTTAAACGCGAAATACTTCACTATCTATAATAATAAATGTAATTGTGCTGTTTACATATAAATGTACTTAATTGAGCAAATGCCAAAATATCTTGTTTGTGTTTGCTGGACCTCTGAGATAATATTATGTGTGTTATCCTTATTATGTTTTAAAAATTAGTTTATTATTGTAAATGCGGTATTTTTTCTGAATTTCTATTATATCTTATGATCACGAGAAACTGGTCAATAGAATTTGAAATGTCTATTATTAAAAAAAATATTAAAAGATTGACATTGTGACACTCTCTCCAGTCCCCCTGAGACCAAAACTGCACTGGACTGCTGCAAAGCATCCGAGACGTACCATTGCTAAAATAAATTGTAAAATTAACAAATATATTTCGTGTTTTTAACCAAACTTAATTGGTGTCTTTATCTTAGTGGTATATTTTTAGTAGCAACATATTTTTATGTATCTATCCTGTGTGTAGTTCTATCCTGATAGATGAAGATGATGGTGGTGATGATGATAAGAGGTAAACACCAAAGATAAATATAATCACGCTGTATATGAAACTTTAAAACCATCTTTGCACGGTTCATGGCGTCGACTAGTTACGCCACTTGAGTTCGCTCGTGTTTTGCCACTATCATCATATTACATCAGTTAACATTTAATTGCTAGACTTCGTTTCGATACTTTAAAATTATCTCGACTGTTTTCAACATTTGGTATTTACGTAGTTTTTTTCTTTAACAGACAAGCGTAGTCTATTGATAGAAGGTGAAATAACCTAGCCATATGACATCTCAAAAGATGTGCTGTCGGCCGATTTTGGCTACGGCCATTCAGAAATCAACGGGCTAAAACCGAAACGTAGATTGTTGCTGTTGCTTTAAGCTCTTGTTTTGGGTTTGACACTTAGGAAAACAGTAGTTATTTCTGATCACCTACTTTCCTGTAAATACAGCAAGGAAACGGACACAGAAGCGTGTTAGCCCCATACTCCATGCTCCCATGGGGTATGGGGCTAACACACGAGATATCACTTAATAACCAAGATCCATACATTCTTACTTAATAGAATCTATATATGTTTTTATATTTTGTTAAAGGGAACATGATTTTAATAATAAGTTAGCGCCATAGTAATTAAGAACTATCGTTCTCATTGTACACGAGTGTTATGAACTATCGGTCGTCACCCGTTCCGCGTCTTGACGTTCGTGTGAAAATTCTATTCTCCCCAAATGGTCTCTATGCTCTGTGCTCGCGTCGTCTATGGTATGATTGCAGTATTGTTTGATGGATTAGCTTTATCTGTTGTTTTTGTTGATCTGTGTTACGGGACTGGAGTTAGAGTTTCCTCATTCTGTGGCATAGACAAGAATTCTATTGTAAAATTTTATAACAGTCTTTGATAGAAAAAATAATAAACACACTCTTAAATCGAAAATTTTTATTTCTGGAGATGATTAAATGATTTTTTATAATACGATAATAACTTATTGTATTGTACATACAGATATATACATAATTTAAAAATCGAAAATAAATTGAAAAAAATTTCGACTCGGGCAGAACTTGAACCGGCATCGTCAGCGTTCCGTGCTGTTGCTCTACCAATTGAGCTACCGAGTCATACACATACATACATTTAAATTAAAAACTTTTTACGGTTTCCAACGCGAAATATATTAGTTAACTTATTTACAAATAATGTTAACCACGGCCCGACATTTCAGATTCTTCTTAGCAGCCATGGTCACGGGGGACTTAGAGGTATATCAAAGTAAAAACTGCAACACAAACACATTTTGTTTCGTGGTAATTAGTATTTCCAAATGCTGTAAAACGTTGGTGCGTAGTTAAAATGGCCGACAAATACATTAAAATTACGTTAAATGTATAAATCGCGTTTTAAATCGTTAAAAGTGTTTAAATGTACTACTCGCGTCAACTATGTATGGACAACACTTAAATGCCTATCAATTCTTATTTTAACAGCAAGGTCTAAACTATTGTGACACTATGTATAAATATTGTCTATTCTCGACGTAAGTCTTTACCTACATCCTTCTCAATCGTATTTGAAGAATGATGTAACTGTGAGTCATCGTTGAGGTCAAGTTTTTTTGGTTGCATCCCAAAACCTGATCTCGACCAGTTCAGGCGCAAATTTTAACGGTGCAACCATAAAAATGTACAACAGGACATTTTGGATTCGCCGTTTATTTTTCTAACGTTAACTGTTATCTTGACACACATTTTGAAAGTCCTGTTCCAAATTTAATTGACTTTATACGAGACCGCTAGAGCCAGAGTGGCCTAATAACAGAAATCATAATTTTCAATAAGGAGGAAACAAATGCGCAATTACCTTTGGCGAAAATGAATTTTTACTATTATTTGTGTAATATGTTAATAATTTTCGGTCACTGTGCTCTTGTAGATGAACATTATACCATGAAAATATAAATAAGTCAAGTTATAAAGTGCAGTTAGGCTACTCTGCCTCTGTCGGCCTCATATTATATACGTAAGTTGTTTTAAATAACTTTTTTTCAGGTACAAAAGAAACAATAAAATGTACCCCGGAATACATGAAGGTTACTATACCTATGGATGGAGACAGAAAAATATCATATCTAGATCAGTTGAAAGGTAAGCGGACAGATAAGCTTGCGGATCACTCAACAAGATGCGCTAACGTCCTATTTTTGGGTTTGGATATTCAATCAACAGACCCAGATGAAGATTTCCAGATACAGACCAAAATATTTAAAAAATATATAAATTGATACATACATGTTGGGCCCGGTGGGGATAGAACCCTTATATTGCTATCATAAGGGGTTGTCCATTAATCACGTGAGGCTTGAAAGAGGGGGGGGAGGGGTTTGATAAAAATCACGAAAATAACACAAGGGGGGCGGGGGGGTGAAGTAAGATATCTCTTGTATTAATTTTTTCGTCAAACGCGCGATTTTTAAACAAGTGGTATAGACATTTTTATTATGCTCCTTAATTTCAGAATAAAATAAGATTATAGTTTATACCTGTATTTATATTAAGATAATATTCAGAAAATTTTAAGATTCTTTGTAGGTACTAAAAATACATGTGATGTTGAGAAGGGGGGAGGGGGGGTGGTCTCAAACCTCACTACGTATCACCCAATGGGGGAGGGGGGGTTTAAAAATTCTAAAAAAAGGTCACGTGATTAATGGACAACCCCTAAGTCCGAAGAGTTCCACGAGAATAATTAATAGGATTCTAGTTATTCGTAAACTTTTGAACTTATCATATATCGCATAGTAAGAAAATAATTTATGATTGTCATCTCTTCTTCACGGTTTCAGAGAAAGTACTCACGAGATGTATAATTCTCACGAAGTTGTCTTTGTCTGAAGTAGAAAGAATTCATTGTTTTACAGGGAAATTAGAACGACAGTTATAATTGATTATAGTTTTGTAGACGGCCTGTATTATATTCTGAACCATAGATTATATCCTGTCAAATTAGATCGAGATTTGGCGGGAATTTTCTAGAAAGTCACTTAGTACTTGTTAGTTATAAAACAATTTGACTAAAAACGTGGGGAGGTAACTTAAGAGCAGGAGATATAGGATATTAGGAATTATAAAAAATTATAATTTTTATTCGAATCATTCCTGTTAACTCTTTTAAAAGTTTTTGATAACTTTATCAAATGTATATTCAACAATCTCTATTGTTATAATATTTAAATATGTTAATTCAAAATATGTTACTTTTCCACAGATAAATGATGTTTATTGCTTTATTTAATGGTGCAGTGTATAAAACTAGACTCGAAAGTTAATTTAATAAATCATATTTCAGAATACTCCCCATGCCAACCTGTAATGGAGGGAGGGGCTGCAACTTATATGCTGGACTTACAGGATTACCCCAAATGCGCAGTCACGAGAATTCTGAATAAAATAACGGTGAGTTATATACACCTTTAATTTTGACAAGAGTCTTTAATATTCCTTCTTAATCTGCATATTTGTGACAATATGATAATAACCTATAAAATAACAAACTGTCTTAATATAATCTATTTCGTAGACAATCAGATCTAGAGGGATCTAGGGGATCTAAGGGTACATCTTGGCGGGTAACGACGTACCCCTGCGCTGGTCCCAGTAGTTAGATGGACCACTTATTGAATATATTGTTGTGCTCTGTTATTTATATACTTTAATTGAGCAACTTTTTTTTTCAATTTATAATCGATTTAACATACGAGTCATAAATATTGTTTGATATATCAGGGTACAAGAACTTATTATCACAAAATTGTGATAGAAACACTAACAGGCGATCGCGAGACGGTCTTAGTGCGGTGTACCGTCAGCAACAAACTCCATGCACTGTCGAGGCGAGCTGTCGAACCCTTTCCGTTAGATTTTAACGAACCAGAGTAAGTAATTCATATATATTTTTATTGTAGACAAAAAAAACATCAAAACGATATAATTATATTAATTATATCGTTTTGATGATAAAAACATCAAAACGAGATAAATAAATTAATATAGCGTTTTCCCTTTCCTCCCACACCCTATAGACAAGGACAAAAGATTATCGATTATCTTTATTAACTCGTTTATAAAAATACAAGAAATAACTTAATAACACATTTACATAAAAAGTCCGTGCAAAGGCGGCTTCGTCGTCTATGGCGATTTCTTTCAGGCAACGTTGGTTTACAGGATATAAAAACAATTAAAGAGTAAAAGTCAACATAATAGAATAGATTTCTAGAAATTATATAAATAATTTATATTGAAGGAGTAATTTGGGGTAAAAATGCACGATTAAATGCTTAAGTACAAGTAATAGCATTAGTGTAGAGTAAAGTAATGCCACAATATTACAAAATAAGATAAAATTTGAAGATAACTCCAAAAAAATATAGCGATCTTATCTAAAAATCGATGGTCCAGGCAACCCCTATATCTTATAATAAAATAAAATAAAGCTTTTTATTTGATTTGAAAACTTTAATATTTTTTACATGTTATTGCCCATGAAGGCACTATAAGATTTAATCGAAATGAAATTGAAAAAAAAAATTTCGACTCGGGCAGGATTTGAACCCGCACTGTCGGCGTCCCGTGCTGTTGCTCTACCAATTGAGCTACCGAGTCTTAAGTTATTTTTACACTTTATTTTCGATTTTTAAAGCTTTTTATTACCAAACATATTTCACACTTCGTTTACAATATACAAATTAGTCAAATTTTGTTTATATCAGGTCCGCATTTCGCGATAAAAGACTCCTCCATACTTCCACTTCGTTCTGTCCGTTCTACAAACAGAACGGATGGCAACACTAAAGCTATAATAAGTTCATACAATGCTAAAAATATTCTTATATACAAAAAGAGCTAGTGTAAGGATTACGAACTGATGTAACAGAATACGTATGCACACACACGTACGTACGCACACATGTAAATTAGAATCCCTGTATGAAAAGCCTCTTTGTCTAATATAGGCTGATAAAGTTGGCATTTTAACATATAAAGTATCGCTTAGTGAATATAACAGGGTGTAAATCATACATATATTTTTCAGTGTTTTAAATATAACAAGATACGAAGAAGGCCGAGCGCCAGAACCAATATTGGGGGCAGTCGTCAAACAAAATGGAAAACAGTAAGTAGGAAATCCTTTAATGTGTTTTTAAGGCTTTAATATAAACAGAACTCCAGTTATATTAATAAAGGTGAAATCAAAAATCCCTCTAGGTCACCTACCACCGTGCACAGATAAAAAGCCGTGAAGTTGATTCGCGTTTCAGATTCAGCCTGTGAATTTCCGAATTTCCAAAGCCAACATGGGTCAACAGCACATCTTGTTGAGATGTTATATGGCTGCGCTATGTCACCTACCATCAAACGATGGACATTTGCTTGCCTGTCCTCCACTATTATAAAAAAAGCATCTTTGACTTGTGTCATTATTAGAAAATACATGTTTAACGGTTTGAAACGCGATGTATATTACATAAATTAATTTTAACTATGACCTGGATGCTACCGGTGTTTTGCAACAGCAAGGTAACGGGAAGATTAAAAATGGCGGACGCCCCTAATGTCAAATTGATAAAGCTACGCCATCTGTTCCTTCGTTGTTTGTATTTGTTTTGCTAATTGATTACGTTTACGTTTTAAACCGTGAATAGGGGATTTATTCAATATGATAACGAGCATTTTGTAAATCGATTTAAACGAAGGAGGCATAGAGGAAGACATGTGTGGCTGTGGACGATAGTTCGTTATTCTAACATTTAATATCCAGATTTCTAGACGAATTGCAGCACGCTTCAGAAAAAATACAAATAAACATGTTGGATATGGCGGGGAACGAACCCGTTGGTATTACCCGTCAATGTAATACCAACGATCCATCTATAGTACAACCATACATTATCAAGATAAAACAAACTTTAAACAACTGATATTATATTCCCCTCAGGGTGTCTGGCGAGATATCTGTGAGTCCGGGGACACCGTTGTCTATGGAGATCTTTCTGGACAACTCATCAGCACCGGTTTATGGACTCCTGGTCAGCTACATGCACGTCACGGACACGGGAAAACAACAGGAGACCATCATATTTAATGGGTAAGTTTGCAGTCAGTTCATTTTTGTGTATCTTTATTGGCCTATAGATAATAATAATAATATTGTATTAGTATCATTATAAATATAATTTTTTTCAAGTTAAATTTAATTAATTAATTATTAATTATAGTCTATAATATCACCTTCATCTATATCTAAAAATGAAAGATTGACAAAAATATTAATTGATTTTTCTTGTGAAAATATAATATCTCACAATAAATGTCGCATTTGGTCTGTCCGAGATTAGAACGATCCCCTAAAATTCGACCTCAGGACCTTTTGCGTTACTGTATTAAAACTAACTTCTCAATATTCCTTATTTAAAAAGATAATAAAAAAGTACAATTACAAATGTGTAGCCAGAGGGCAAAACGTGTTGCTTAGCATAGCGTTAAGCGCGAGAGGTCTAGGTTCGAATCCCAGTGAAACAATAGATTGTTTGGGTAGGGGACAGAAGTCTGATCGTCTTGTCGTATACCGGTCAATGAAACACAGAAAGTGTTCGCTGCCATGAGGGACACGGGTTTTTTTTAAATTAGTAACGTATTTAAATGAAACACTTAACGGTTTAAAATGCGATATATATTAGTTAAATATATTTGACAATTATTTTTACGGCCCGCGTTTCGGATGCTCTGCAGCAGCCGTGGCCGCAGGGAGACTATTTAGTCTCTTTAGTATGTCAAAGTACAAAACTAAATAAGTTTAACTAATATAATATAGTATACATCGCGTTTTAAACCGGTAAAGTGTTATAATCAAATGTTTACTAGTTACTTAAACTACAGACAGTATATTAACTAATTATTAACAACTTAATTCACATTTTTATTTTTATAGCTGTTCAATTGATCCGTACCTCTTCGATAACTTCCAAACTATTGATGGAGATAATTTAACAGCCAAGTTCCGTGCTTTTAAATTCCCTGACACCACTTACGTCCAGTTCAAAGGAACTGTCACTGTGTGTTTGGACAAATGTCAAGGGGTAAGTTGTAAGACATCATCAGGTTAAGGGCTTATATCATCTTTTAATCAGGTTTGAGGTAATAATCCTGGGACTACAGAACTTCAGATATGATCTAGGTTTTTTAATAACAGGCTGAATCCGAAACGTGATTAAACTTTTCGGCTTTTTCATCTGTGGACTGTTTGTGTGGTAGTATTCCTACCACCCATTTAATCTATCCAGATTCCCAGACGAAGTCCAACATGTTTTAGAAAAATTATAAATAAAATAGTATCTATAGTTTACGCGAGTAAACTTATTTGACGATATAAACGTGATATATTTTAACTTCTTTGACCATGATTTTTAACGTCGGGCCGTATTTAAAATAATTTTCAAATTAGTTGTACTTATATATTTCGCGTTTTAAACCGTTAAAGTGTTTTATTTTAGCGTGCATTCGCGTAAACTACAGAAAGAATTTGAAATCGGTTGCAGGTACAGTGCAGCAACGGTGTAACGGCGTACGGAAGGAGGAGACGTGAAGTGGCTTCACGGGCCAACAGTAACAAAGTGTACGAGGTCTCACTCACGACTTTCATAAAAGTGGATTACTTGGATGGAGACAGAGAAGCTGGTAGGACATCTAGTACAAATGCTTTCAAATCAGTGAAATTTCAGAAGTTTTATTCCTAATATAGCTAAATGCTAGAAGCTTTGTCATCAATACTTTTAGCTTATAACTTATGATTTTTAATGATACATAGGGTTCACTCGATGGTAGGTGAAATACTTCAGCCAAGATAAGCTGTTGACCTTTGACTTTGGGTTCCATAATCCTCAGGCTAAACCGACCATCAAACTTAATTATTTTTCGTCTGTGGACGGTGGTTCGTGACAATCGGAATTTCGCTGTTCCTACCAGCCATTTAGTATCCAGATTTCCAGATGAAGTAGAACGAGTTTAGTAGATTTTGATTAGATACATATCGGACTCGATGGGGAACGAACACATGAATTTATTAACCATAATGCTACCATACCAACGAAGTGTCCACCGAAATAGAAGAATAAAAGTGTAGTTTGGACAAATTCCCCCTCTACTTAGCTAATTAATGCAAGTAGATAATGTCTTCTGTAGCTTTATACCGAAATAATATTAATTGTTTCGGTTTAAAGCACAGTTGTGTCAGACTGTCCCAGACATCCCCGGGATGTCTTTGACTTCATCAAGCGTTGAAGTGATCTTTCGAGGGTTGCGTACCCAAGGAGAAAACCGTGTGTGCTGATACATGGCTGCCTCTCCCTAGGATTACAATCCAGAGTCAGAAATGATTACATTATAATTTGTGCTTTTAGTGAGAGGTTTCTTTGTAAATATTTTTATTCTTGCAGAGGACGTTTACGCGCTACTAAAGAACTTAAAAGTAGCAAATCAAATGCTCGGAGACAGCGAAGGATCCTCAGCCCCAGTAACTCAACGAACACCAGACAATCAAATAATATACTTACAATCGTCGACCGCCAGTGTTGCCACATTCAGTATTCTACTATTCTTGATAAGTATCTTAGTATTGTTTAAATAAATTGTGTGGCGATAATTGTAATACTTTCTCTCGTTCGTTTCTATAGTATTGATACTTGTGGATATAGTAGAACTCCTAATTTATATACTATATATTACAAATGAAAATTAAATCATATGTAATAAAAATTACGAACAAACGAAAAATATGTACTCAGCTATCACACAAAATACTAACTTGCTTCATATAACTATAAGGAGTGCCTCGTCACAAGAATTTACATGGCTACATGGTAGAAATTGTCCATAACGAAATATTAAACATTTTTAATAGTAATGTTGGAAGCTGAGGTCGTTTGGATTATAGAAAAGTGTCATAATATTGTCAATTTCCAATCATCTTTGCTTTTATTTTAAATTGTATCAATGGTACACGATCACGGTATCACGAATGGTACACATTAAAGTCGATCTAACGGTTTGAAACGCGAACTATATTCGCCCAGTGACCACAATAAAAGTAGTAATCAATTACTAATATAATTCGCGTTTTAAACCGTTGGTAAAAACTGCGTTGATAAAATTTTTGTAATAAGCCTCTTAATATATTAAAGTTATCATTGCGCCTACTATTAACTATGGAAAAGGAATCCGTCCATTTCATTAAGCAAATAACAAATAAGTGCCTTCCTAATTTAATTAATGCATTCGCATTTAAGTTCACTAGTCTTAAAATAAAATTAAACAATAAGAAATAGTTTAATATTACTACCAATTTTCTACCATAGTGATAAGCGATTCTGTAATTTTGGTAGAACTCTGATACCGGCAACACTTGTATTGTGAAATTTAGGGATATTAAGACCAAATGTTTTTGTTTTCTTTATTAAATTTACAATATTAAATAATGTTATTTAGCAGCTTTCTTTGTAAATTAAATCAATTTACTACTATTGAAATATCGATCAAATTAAGTAAAACTTCCGACTCATAATAACAGTATAGTATTTCTCAAGATTTTGTGATTCATAATGACTAAAATAATTAATTAGAGTTTAGTAAATAAATTGTTAAGAGAATTTATTTGTTTTATTTTACACTTTTTATTAACCAAGCAATAAAAAGAAGAGATCTTAACTTTTATCCTGATCAAGTTAGTCCTTGTCACCGATGAACTTCAAGACTAAAGATGATCTAGCGCCTATATGAAGTTTTAGAGTATAACAGGAAAATATATTTCTTCATAAATATATTTTTTCTATTAAAGCAAGGTGAATAAGAAAAACAACAGTGCTTACATCCGCGAACATGTCCGACGTACTACCGTACCATGGCAAACCGCATAGCCAGCTGAAAATAAGACCACAGATCGAATCTAGCCCTGCAATTGAAAAACTGGGACCACCAGTTCAGCGCTGTAAACCTCAATGGAGGAAACCTCATAAGAATTTCATAGGAACAATAAAATAGATTTTCAAGATTTCAGTCTTTTAATAGAACCATGTAATTGATTGAACTAACAATAACTACTCACTAAACCAGACAAAACATTACAACTAATTAGAAACAATGCAGCTATGTAAAATTAGACAACCGACAAAACTGGAGACATTTTCGATAGTAGCAAACCCAAAAAGTAACTGGTAACATTAAAAAATAGAATATTCTAGCGATAGCAAGTTATAAGTATTTTTTTATTTACAAAACATTAATAAAGAATAATTGAAGCTAATATAGCATATAGATTAATTACACGTTATTAAGAGAACGTAACGATTACGAAACGATTTTTAAATAGAACAAATAACGCTTCTGCTCTGCACATAATTTAGGAAAACATTTTCGACGAGAGAACTTATAGGAGTTTATACGTAACGTGTTAAGCCAGTCTGTCAAATTAATGCGTCTCTAAGGCGTCCCCACACACAATTATTTCTTGTAGTGATAACTTCGAGGAAGCGTCCGGTTCGTTATGTTCGTTACGACGTCTGGCTTTCACCATTAAAATTAAACAGTTCAACTTAGATCGTTTAATCACATCTATCCGGAGATAATTCTAATTAATCATATAGACAATAAAAATAGTGTAACGTAATAACTAATATCATAGTGGACACAGATCATAGCTAAAATTGTTAATTGATGAAGGCAGAGTGTTGCCAGTTACACTCAAACTCACAACGTTAGTACAAGCCATTTTAATACAGTAAAAAGTCCCAAGTCTGTTATTCAAAATGGCCCCTGGTCTGTCAAATGTCACACAATAAATGACATTTACCTTCAAACAATTCTAACCTCAAACAGGTATAGTACAATCTAATATTTACAAATATTGCTTATTTGGAAGTTTTAGTGGCAATGTCCGGCGAGACTAAATTCGTATATTTTAAAATTTAATTTCAATTCTCATGTACTAAAATAATTGTATTTTTATAAAATTTGGATTTAAGTAGGCTATATAACAATTGAATGAAAATTAGTGAATTGTATGACTATGAATGAATTTCAAGAAAAAATTGTTCTTGTTTGGTGGTTTGTTTGTATAACTCTTAAATCCATCTATTTTTTTGACACTGACGTGTTTTTTAAGTTTAAGAAACTATAGATTTCTCAATTTGGTTTCTAAAAATCACAAAGAAATAATCTTTCTTTTCTCTTCTATTTTTTTAGTACATAAGAATTGAGTTGGAGCGAATTTAGTTAGTCAATTGAATTCTAAAAATTATTTACAGATTGAGATATTTTTAAATTCAGACAGGTGATTCAACATTAACAAAATCTAGCTGAAAACAAATAACATTTAAATCTCGGTTATACAAGTCTTGGTGAATAGATAATATATAAAACGTATTTGAAGTTTTATAGAACAGTAAATAAGGATATATATTTTGGGAATGAGAAAAATATATTTATATTAAATATCAATAAAATATACTCACTAAATTGGCACGATAACTATACACATACACAACATTACAAAACTACTCCTTAATTATATATCGAAGAAATAAAACGGGCTAAAAATTTATACGTGATAAATAACACACCCTGTATGTACTGAAGATTATTGTGCGTATTTGAAATGTTTTAATTTAATAATAATATACAAGATCATTAATAAAATTAATCGAATGTCGAGTATTATTAAGAGAGCTTATGTATATACAAAAAGGTCAAAAATTGGATCGTAAAAGTGAACACGACTTTACAAAGGCGTCAATCGAATTCATTCGATTGTTCTTTAAAAAGGGAGGGTAGTATTTTTTTAGAGCTATGTATGTTTATTTATTGTAAGATTCTAATCTTAGCTTTATCATCATCAGAGTAACAAAATAGATGAGCAATTTAAAATATACATGTATTGTATTGTTTATACCTCTATTGTATTAAATCAAAAACATACTTTAGTTGAGAAATTACACTGGCGGACCTCGAAGTCGCGACCGCATTATGTAACTAGTGTGTTCATTTAAAAATTTAAACGCAAGCCCCCACTATCCATATTAGTCTGTGACCTGCTTCTCCGAGCCACTCTGCCACCCGGAGTCCATGGTGTTTGTATCGCTGTAACAGTGGTGGTGGTTCGTCTTCAACTCCTCCTTGACCTCCCTCACGGGCTCATACTGCGAGTCTGGCCCCAAGCATTTAGCCTCTGTTTCATTCGAATACACTATCTCTGGCCGCCCATCTTCATCAGACAATAATGACTCCTCCGTGTTGGGAGATAAGGGTGAAGTTATCGGAGCCAGATACTCGTTCTTCTCTTTGGGGCTTCGCTTCGACATTTTCAATGGACTTATTTGACGCGTTTTCGGACTACCCTCGATGCGAATGCTCGAATTCAGATCGGACATTCGTCTATCTTCGAATCTGTCGCTCATTCGGTCTCTACTCATTCGTGATTCGTTCAGGATCTCAGTCATCCTGGAATCGTTCATTCGTTCCATTCTCGACGTTTCACTGAGACGTTCAATTCTGGAATCATTCAAGCGATCTCGAGAATCATTAATATCGACATCGCTCACTCTCTCTGTTCTAGAGGTTCTAGAATCGTTCAATCGTTCGCCTCTATCGATTCTGGGGTCGTTCATTCGTTCACTTCTGTCTAATCTGGAATCGTGGATCCGTTCGATCCTAGAATCACACATTCGTTCGCATCTATCAATCCTTGAATCGTTCATTCTGTCACTGCGATCTAATCTTGAATCGTTCAGTCTATCTCTCGAATCGATTCGTTCAATACGATCCATGCGTTCATGTCGTTCGTTCATTCTCATCGAATTGTTTAATTGCTCGATCTGTTGTTCGGTGAGACGGATGGAATTGTTCAAATCGTGTCGCAACTTTTCTGTCTTTTTGTCTGTCTGTCTTGGTCTGCGTTTGGATCCGACTTGCGGTTGAGGGCGCTGCTGTCGCGTTAAGGTAAACGAACCAGTGTCGGATTCCGATGTAGACTCTGGATGGTTCTCTATCGTGCCCACTAGTGCTGATACGTTAGGATTTACGCAGCAATCCGCCTACGGGACAACCACAAGGTTTTAATACATTAGACGGGCGTGTTGTCTGTAATGGTATCATGGTCGTGGGTTCGATTCCCATCTCCAACATGTTTCAAAACAATTTATCATTAAATATTTGTTGCAATATTTTGTATGTAATGTATTTTCATCTGGTAATAAATGTTTTACATAATTTTTCTGAAATATGTTAGACTTCGTCTGGGAATCTGGATTTTTAATGGGTGGTAGGAATATCGAAATTCCGTCTCAGAACACCGTCCACAGATGAAAAGCCGTGAAATCTAATCGCATTTCGGCTTCAGTCTGTGGATTTCGGAATCCAAAAAACTGCAGCCGAAACTATCCAAAGCCAAAATAGGTTGATAACATATCTCGTAATAGGAAAGCGTAAAACCCTTTAACCACCAAGTATAATATGACATTTATTTATTTGATAAGCGTTTTCGCTTTGTTATAACACAATTTTTTTTAAATATCATGTTACTCACGTTACAACAACTGGATACGTCTGCAAAGTAAACCTCGGATTCCGTATTGGGATTGCCTCCTCGATGACAATCTTGGATTGAAGATCTGGAATCGAGAAGTTTTTTTTTAAGATCAAGCAATCAACAGACATGAAAACAGCGCTAGGCATCATTTGAACATGAGCTAGCTCCATGTACTAACAGTATATTCATTTAAGTTTTGTAACCCATAAGTCCAAAAAGTCTTAAGAATAGTGTTAGGATTTTGAACTCAAAAGGCAAGTAGCTGTCCATATGGTTTAAAAACTATCTTTAGACAGGGTGTTTCGTAGTAGTGATATGAATTGCTCCTTAGGTCATTAAATTTATCAAAAATGTATAAGAAGGCGAAAAATTTAGATTGAAAAAAAAGGGGGGAAAAAAAAAGCTCCTAAGATAAAAAAATACAGAAAAATGTATCAGTTTTAAGACATGTTGAACAAAACCAGACTGAGTTTCTTGGGTGTTCTTGTCGGTTATGTTGCTCTGTTGAACACTCTTAGAGACGAGCATTTTTGGGGGAAGAAAAATTTTTAGAGAAAAAAAAAAAAAAAAGAAAAAAAGGGGAAAAAAAATAGATGGTTTGGTAGAAAATGGCGCGTGGCGGTTGACCTTTATTTCATATTATTTAAAACGTCGGGTCGTTAAAAATGATTGAAATCGCGATTTGAACGATTAAAAATTTTAATTTACTCAAAATATATTTGTCAAAACATACCTCATAGGAGACTGCTTGTCTGTCTGAAACGCTAAATTCTCTTTGCCTTGTTTTTGACACGAATCGATGCTTTGATCTGAAACTGAAATTGATGTTTTAGTAAAGAAAGTAAGTTGATAATAGAGATTATGTTAAAAAGAGAAGGGGGGGGGGGATTATATATCATACGAAAAATCTGTATCTTACTATTTTTTGACAATTACTAAAATCATTTTAAATAAAATCACTTTAAGTTTTAAAATGCGATATATTATTAAACTTATTTCAATTTATTTTAATCATTTTCAAATAAGTTTAACTAATATATCGTTTTAGTAAGGGTTTTATTATATATATAACAAAAATCTGTATCCTAAGTCAGTTGTGCAATCTAAAATCAATTTTTAACCCAAATAGTATTAAGCAAGTTTCTTTTAACAATTACCTTTACTCAAATTCTTTTGATGCACACACTCTATAACTTCATCTCTGCAATCTCTATGTAAATTTCCAGCACTCAAACCCAGAGATCTGGGACAGTTCCGATATGGGACCAAATGACCCCGCAACGTGTTAAACCTCTCCTGGGTAACCTCTTCCACATCTTGTGGGTACATCTGCAACTCTTGATTCAGACGCAATTCTGGATTCAATCGAGCCAACTCTGGATGCATACGAATCAATTCTGGGTTCAGTCTAACCAATTCCGGGTTCAGTCTGACCAATTCCGGGTTCAGCCTGACTAAGTCTGGGTTAAATCTGACCATATCTGGATTTATCCGCTCTTGGCTGTGGTACGAGCTTCGCGCGCATGTGTGAGGTTGTAAATTTGTATGCTCGTGTACGTTTGTGCTTCTATGTACGTCGATGTGGTGGTGGTGAAGCAGAGTGGTGGTTGCTGGGTCTTGGTGGTGAAGATGGTGCCTGAAAATTAGAGAAAGTTGATAAGAGCAGGATAATAACAATATTTAAATAAAATACTTACTCGCTGCAAAGTATTTGAAACGTCGGGGCGTATTTAAAATAAATATAAAAATAACCAATATATTTCGCGGTTTTAAACCGTTGAAAAATGTTTATATAAATTCATACTATTGGCTCGAAAAACACCTAATTTTTTAATAAGTTGGGTTTATTTATAGTATCATTTACATCGTGGATCTTATTTTGAACTTACCTACTCCCACTCCTGCCTTGTGGGCTGTAGGGCGGTGGAGGTCCCCAAACGCCAGTCTGTGCATCAAAGCTGGTATTCCCTTCTGAATATCCTTCTTGATACGCTATTTGCCCAGATGGAAAACTCTGCGAACTCTGCCCGAACTGCGAACTTTGTCCAAACTGTGCCGTCTGACTGAATTGCCCGGGCTGACTGAACTGAGCTGATTGGACGAACTGCGATGTTTGGGCAAATGAGCCAGAAGTCTGCCCTCGCTGAAACGGCTGGTTAAAGTTGGCCGGGTATGTTCGCTCGTCGTAGGATTGTGGCGGGTTCTGCGCTTGCTCAGTTTCACAGAAACCGTATGCACTGTCGCCCGATTGTGGAACGCCGTCCATTCGGCAGCGAGAGCTGGAAGATTGTATACATACATAAGAAGATGTCATCTTTATCTAGTAAAATGTTCTTTATAATTAGTAATATACCATTTTTCAAAGAAGGCTATATGCGATATAAAATCGAGCTGCGATAAATAGGAGCGAGGAAGCAGCGGAAATGTGGAGAAAATGGGGAAAATTATTCATTTGTGTGGTTTTCCGTTGCGTTCGCTGCGAAAGTGGTTCAAAATAGTAAAAAAAAATGTATAAAAGAATTATTCCCCTTTAAATTTTCTATAAAAATGTCTCCGACAATATATGTCTATCTTTTAATATTAACTTGTAAAAATGATGAAATTTGCAAAAAACAAATTTTAATGCCCAAATAACCCTTCAACGCGAACAAATGCTGGCACATCTAGTAATGTAATAATTTATCTCTATGATCTGACAATTAAAAAGCTGTTATAAATAAATATTAAAAACTCACTTCTGACTATTTCCCCTCGGCCATGGGAACCAGCTCCATGGCGACGTTTTCCTCCCTGAACCCGGATTTGGTGAATATAGGTTGCCAATTCGACCTAAAAATATACATATTTGAAATATAACAAACTACTTTATGTAACAATACATTATATTAATAGAGGCGGATTTTTTATAGAGGCGGACAGTTCATGGATGGAGATACCACGGCCACTTTTAACATGTGGACAAGATGCGCGGTCGACCTATTTCGGCTTTGGAATTTCGGAAATTCAATGACTGAAACCGAAACGCGATTCCAATTGAAGCCTTTTTCGTCTGTGGATCATGACCGGGACGAAATTCTCGATATTCTTACCACTAATTCCAGATGATAGCTAACAGTTTTTGGACAAGACAGCTTGTTAATTATTAGTCACGCATTGCTACCATTATACCAACGAGCCTGTTAACGTATTGCTTATGCGAGTAGTACATTTTTAGCTAAAACACTTAACTGTTACAAACGCGAAATAATCTAATGAAACAAAAAATTTAAAAATATCAATGCGTTTTGTTGATTGAATCTTACCGGGAGCCCAGAATCGGTGTTGCAAGCTGAAATCCCAGGCTGGCTGCGTGGTGTGACATTGTGCGCAACAACTGCAGTTGTTCTGGAAAAATTAAATTCAATATTAATAATTTTAAATAAACAGCTGTCAGTCCCAGCTGTCATATAGCCCACCAAGTGTGGTGGGTCTAAGGGAGCCCTTAAATGGGATATTCATAGTTTGAAAGAATGTTGAGAAGTTAGCTAATGTTTTTCTCTTCAATAAGAGTTTTTAAGCAAATAAAAAATATAGTTTAATCTATTCATTCGTTATCAACAACTTAATTGTTAATCTATAATCTACAAGACCAATACTAGGAAAATATATCTCGAAAACAATTTGAAACCAACCTGTACAGGTCTTCCGGTTGGCGCAGCCTGTCCAGTTGGTGGTCTGTACAGAGACCTGCAACGTAGCTCCAGCTGTTCCCAGTACATTTTCTTTCGTTCATGACTAGAAGGTGAACAATATTTGTGTTTAAACTATCATACTTAAGATTATGCATAGATTGTCTAAAACTAAATTTTAATCCTTGCTATCAGAAAGGTGGTAAGGTCAAATAAAAAGACTAACGGTTTAAAACGCGTAATATATAATTATAATAGATAACATATTATTTTTAACGGCCCGACGTTTTGCAGCAGCGTGATCACTGGGTGACAAGTTTAATTTAAATTTAAAATAACTGAGCAAATTTTGCATTCTTGTCAGTAATTTAAGATTTTGGAAATATAAATATAATATTTTCTTCTCTATAAACGTTCTATGTTAATACATTGTGAATTGGGTTCAAAGTATATAAGTCAAAGTAATTTACGATTGTAACAAATTGTAACTATTTTTGGACTTTACAAGAAGCATCTTTGCAAAGTGGTCCTTGTCAAGTCCAAAAATTCTGTTTTATTTCTAGGCTCGCCTCGTTCGGACGATTGTTTTTACATGAAATCATTAGCCAAGACATAGCATTATATCTAGCACATACAATTTGCTAATCTCTGACGTTCAACGTCATTTACGACCTTGCCCCACTTACAGTGTCTAGGATACGCTAACTCGAATGTTGCTATGGAAACTATGTCATAAACCTTCGAGCAAAGCTAAACGTTGTTTCCAAGACGTAAGATCTAATATCCCATGAGCCGCTTAAACGAACTTTCACCTATACAAAATGTCATTTAGGAAAGGAAATCAATCGGAGAATATATCTATTTTAATTTTATAACCATTTACTTGAAAATCATGTTACAAACACACCACAGAAGCAGTATTAGCCAACATTCGCGATCTGTGAGTCAGTTCATGAACGAAGCAGATGAGCTATCAGACGCGGAACTAGTGAAGCAAGTCAACGATATCAAGCAGCAAATACGAGTTCTCGCACTCGAAAACGAAATATTCGAGAAGACGATAATGAGACTCGATCCAACGTTGATGCACGGGATACAGCAAGCGCTCGAGTTCGCTGCGAAAATGCAGAGTGGCTCATCACTAAACATAAACAGCTTCGTCAAGTCGACGTCGAAACTCGGCATGGAGTCTGTCACGAGTCCGTCAAGAATGCTCACAAGTCCCTCAAAAGTTTCAGCGCGGCGCGTCGATTCATCAGCCAAGTTCAGTGGAACGGTCACCATTGGTACAGGACCGAGGATCAACGTCCTAGAAAGATCCGAGCTGGTGTCAGTCGAGATGGAAATTCTTATCAACACTCTAGAAAGAGCTAGATACAAGGCGGCGAAGCAACACGCCTTACTAAAAGCACAATTAGAAGAAATCGATCTTCGTGAAGTGGAAATAAAGAAAGCGTGTGAGATGTTTGAAAAGGAGGTCATCATTGACGGTTGGGATAAAATAGCTCAGAGGATCCCCGCGGAGATCTGGATTCGATTCATGACGGAATGGGTGAAGATTATCGATGCGCAGATTGGGAAGCTAAGACTACGGACCAGTACTTTAAACACGCAATATAGTAAGCTCAAAGGCCAGATACGCGTGAAGGCTGAACTGAGCGAGAGCCTTCGTCCTGTGGACTTTGACAAGCTGAAGATAGAAAATAACGAATGCGCAGAAATCATAGATACGAAGATAGTACAGCTGGCTGAATTAAAAAAGATGACTGGCGATGCTAATCTAAACTTAACAATCCATAAGAAACTAATGATGGAACAGAATAGCTATCTAACAAATGTACTTAAGACGATCAAACTAAAACAAAAACAGACCAAGGAGTTGGATAAAGAGAGAGATGTTATCCGGGTTCAAGCTGATAGTCTAGCTCAGAGGTTGGATGATGTTAAGAAGGTTAGACTGGCTTATGAGGTACCAGATGTTATGGACTACGTGAATATAAAGTCGGAGGTGACGGATTTGAAGAACAGCATCAAAGTGCTGGAGAACAGAGTGCATATACAGCAGATAGCGCTCGCGTCCCTGAACAGGAAATTGACTTTGATGTTAATGAGTTAGGTGTTGTGTCCGTATCATTAAAATTTAATTTATTTCTTTATCAATCTCAACTTTATTTTTATTCCATTGCTATAATTATTTTATCTTATAAACATTTTCGTATAGAATTAAACAACCGAAAGAAAGGCAATGTTTATAAAAAAACAAAAAATAAATAAACAGTGGTCGCACTCAAGCAAGAAAGAAGCTATGTGAATTCTTATTGAATCAAGACGTGATATCCTATTTTTTTCTATTTTTTATGGTGATAAGTAAGAAATACCCCAGCTATTAAACAACGTAACTAGGTGGGTCTGTCGCCCTATTTGAGCTTTAGGTAATCCGACGGGAACCGAAACGCGATTAACTTCACGGTGCTTAGTGGATGGTAGCGAATCGAACCCGCGACCCTATTACGTATCATAGATTTTAATAAAGAAAATTAATTCCAAAGAAATGTTAGTTCTTAATTCAATAATTCTAAGTACAATATCATGTTGACTTACCTTAGCAACTGGTAAGCCAGCATACAACTGAAGATGCAGACAAGAACAGCGGTCACAGATAAAGCGAACACTCCGCGAAGACACCAGTACAGGGCTCCGTGGACCACACCACAATCTGTGACACCTTCGAAGACGCAACGGACTCCTGAAAGAAATAGCACTAAAGAAATATCTGCTAAATATATAAAGAAAATATTAATAATCTTGGGCATAAGTAGTCTGAGCGAGTAGAACACATTGAAATAAAACACTTCAACGGTTTAAAACGCGAAATATATTCAACTTACTTAGATATTATTTTTACTATAGGGTTTTTCAAAGCCTCCCCAGCAGTTATGTTCACAGACGTTATTAAAATAATTTGTTAATAAATTTAACAAATATATTTCTCGTTTAAACTAATAGTGTTTTATTTAAATTATAGGATTGTAAGTGTTAAATGTTTATATACAATAAAAAAAACTTGTTAATTCAGGCGGGACTTCAACCTACAATAAAAAGCCTTAGAAAACAGTTACCTTCATATTTAATTACTGTATATATATAAACAATTTTTAAATTCTTTAGCTGCAAATGCTAATCTTTAACACAGGCCAGATTCAAACCCGCCACAGATGCTATATCGTGCTGTTCCTCTGCCACTCACTACCGTAATACACTCACAATCCTTTGTCATCAGTTATTTGATATGACAAGAAGCTATAATATTTTCCGAAATAATAGACAAATTTGGATGCGGTTTCCATCACCAATGAACTCACCATCATCATCACTACCACTGTGCTGCGAGTCAGGAGGCATTGAGAAGCACGAGCAGGTCCTCGTCAATTTCGTGTATTCGCAGAATTTTAGTGTTTGAAGCCTGTTGATGAGATGTTAAGCTTGAGTATCGTTAAAAGTAATTATAATAATAAAACTAATCAGCTTAAAGTCTGTGAAAATTAATTTAAATATTATTAAAACATTTACAAATCGAATTTTGACTCGAGCAGGACTTGAACCGGCATCGTCAGCGTTCCGTGCTGTTGCTCTACCAATTGAGCTACTGAGTCCTACCTACTACTACTAGGTATTCGATTTTTAAATTATATAGTGCCTTCATGTGCAATAACATGTAAAAAATATTAAGGTTTTCAAACGTTAGTAAAACATATAAGACAAAAATGAGGCTGATGAAAGGTGAAATGTTCCATCCGCATATTCTTTTAAAAAGATGGGCTGTCGGCCTATTTTCTACAAATCAAAAAATCCACAGACTGAAAGCGAAACACGATTAAGCTTCACGGCTTATTATCTGTGGACGGTGGATCGTGGAGCTCGGAAGTTCGTACTCGGACGAAATTTCGATATTCCCACCATCACCAGTCTTTCAAGAATAAATCTGTGTTTCCCAAAAATGTATCTGTTGACAAATGTTAGACTCGGAAATCCTCAGAAACCGACGACCCGTTTGTTATGAAATACAGTAATATCGAGACTTGATAAAGATACAAAAGTAGACATATCATGGACTCACTTATTCATATGTATAACTGTGGTAGTAATAGTGACCAGAACACAGGTCAACGCACATACAAGACAGCAGGCCCCGACCACTTTTATCTAAAAATGTCAAAATATGCACTTTAAAAGTAAAGCCATATATTAAACACTGTTTACGAGAGTTGTATATGTTTAAAACGCGAAATATATTTATTTATAATAGTTAAACTTATTAATGCAAAGGCGAACACCTTTAGTCAATTCAGCAAGGACTCGGTCAGTTTCACCAAATACTAACTATGACGGAACAGATGGCGCTAGCGTAGCAGTTTTTACTTTGACATCAGAGACACCCTCCTTTTTTTGCTTCCCTGTCACCACGGCTGCTTCAAAGCATGCAAAACGTTGGGCCGTAATTAAAATAATTTCTAAATAAGTTTAACTAACATTTTTCGCGTTTTAAACCGTTAAAGTGTTTTCTTTAAAAACACTCTGACCATGTAGGTCTCTGGACACTGAACTGTCACAATCATAGTTATCCAATATCGAACTAAGTAAAAATTGTTTAATGTTAAATACTTGTATCTTATATCCAAACAAATGATTTCATAAGTCAATTCCTTTAGTCTTTATTGATATAATAGACGTCGATCAGTATTGACTAACAGGACCTACACCGCACGTTCTTGCGTTGGGTCCAGCTTTGCATTTGACATGTTGCAGTAGGCATTTTTGAAGGACTGAAGAGAAGGATTAAGAATGCTGATGATCACTTGACGAAAGGTAAAATGGCCCAGCTGCAAAACATCATAATTAGATGCGCTTCTGGCCTATTTAGAAATTGGATATTTGGAAGTTGGATATTACAAGTTTCAACATTGTCGTTTCCACTAAGAACTAAGCTGGTCATCGATTGGAAAATACGCAACAGGTTTTTGATAACATGCAACTCATGCCAAAATAGTATCTTAATAAAACATACTTTTCTCACCATATAGCTGTACCGGTTTCTTCTGCGGGCCAGGCTCATTATGCAGACGCCCGTCAGCACCAACTGGAAAATACACCCTTCTTCATAAGAAGCTTTTACTCCTTCCAATCATTTAATCAGACAGCTGGGTAAAGAACCCAGAGAGAGTTTTAAAATAGCAGTACCGTAATAATAGTAAAAACTACCGCCACTTAATTACCGTTTTGTTATTAACACTGATCGGATTTATTTATAGGCAAGTTGGTGTTCTTGATTGCTGTGCCCAGCTCGACCGAAATAATCTGTTTTTTGCCTACGATTCGAACCCATTTCGAAATTTTAACACAATGCATTGCAACAGGTTTTGCCATGTAGCTACAGAGGCAGACGAGTGAACAATTGAATCGAATTAGATTCAGGGTTCATAACTCCCTGGACTTCATAATCTCTAGTCGAGTTCATAAACCACTAGATGAACGAGAGAGTCAATGTACTAACTAAACATTTTAATATTGTTATAATATGGCTTGAAGTTGCCTTATAAGAATAAACAATACCATGGCAGCCGGTACAGCAGCGGGAACAGTCTCCAAGTGGTGTGGTGACGCAGTATACGCACGCAGCAGGATGTGCTGTGCAGCAAGCAGCCCGCCCAATGCTGCAGCCAGCGCACCGCAACCGCAACACCACCATGCGTACTTCTTGCGACGGCATGTCGTCTCGTTTCCGTTGCAGCCGACAGAGGCTAAAAGGAATATTAATTACGTAAGGAGACCGCAACTGTACATCCAAGCTTCGAATTACCAGATTACCATATTGTTATGAGAGACGAGGGAATAAACGCGGAGTTCACAAGAAAGTGGAAATTGGGCATTAATAAGACTGAACCGACTCAAAATTGAGCTGAGGAAAAAAACAAATATATAACATCCAAACAAGATGCACTGTCGAAATATTTTGAATTATGTTAAAAATGTTGTTAAAAGCCGACATTATTATTTCGAGATGAAAACGTACTTTTACCTTAACAGACCTTACTAGTTTATTATTTATTAGCTTAAATTTGATTCGCGATAAACCAGTGTAGCTTATATAACTACTAACTTTTAATACGTAACTTTGAACGTTACATTGTTCATGTTTCTTTCCCAAAAATCACTCTGTTTTGTTGTTAAGTTCCGTACTAACGAAAAATATGAAATGAACATTCATATTGGAACTGGAAAAGCTACGCAGATAATGTTTAGAATCAAAATATTGACGCCGTTAGATTCACTAGTTAACTTTGCAGTGTTAATAATATAATGCCGAATAAATTATGTTAATTACCAAAATAAGGCGGCGGTGGCACATAGTGTTGTGCCACATCGGCCGCTAACGTCGATTGTGGTGTCGTCACTTGATACTGAACCACTTGCATAATACCACAAGCTTCCATAATATCCATGCACCGATCACTATAACATTACACACTAACACAATAATCAGGAACATTACCCGCTTGTCAACACTGCACCGAGCTTTGAATCGCGCGCCATTTTCGCAAAATCGATATCCTATGCACGCACTATCAAGCATTCATAAATAATAACCGCGTTTAACACTGGCCGTATATAATTTTAATCTGTACTAAATTCATATAAAACATAAACGTCACAATTACCGCGCTATATTTTATATATATAATTTAAAAATCGAACATCTTATTCTACAGATAATAATCATTTCCGTGGAATTTATTTGGCACTGAATGAGTTTTAATTTATATTTGGCTTTTAATATTTATTATTAAGATTAGGACGATTGTCATTTTAATAGGACGCGACTAGGTTATGTAGAGTACAACAATGAAATGTTTCGCGCAGAAGCAGTACGCCCCGAATCGCAGGTAAGAGCTTAGTACACTTACAATACCTTCGAGCTTTGGAGCATAGACAAGAAAAAATACATTGACAAGAACAGGTAGAAAACTCCTTTGTCAAAAGAGGTTTCGAGGCATCAATACAAATATCTGTGGGAATCGTTTCGGACACCTGTTTTTGAAATAAGTTTGCGTAAATCACTGTGACAAACACAACAAAGCCTTCAAAGTAGATCGGAAGGTATATTTCATTATCTATTCATGAGTTTTAGCATTCACCAATAGAAGGTTTTGCAACCTTTTATTATCACATTGAGAATTTATGTTCCTTTTATATGTCTGTTACATAAAACGTAGATTTAGTATGATTAGAATAATGAAAAAGGAAATTTATGAAAATCATTATAAGTTCACTACAATACAGGCATGTCGTATTGTAGTGCTAGCTAGAACTAGCTACTAATCAGATGATTAATTTATAAATAATTACATTTATTCAATTACAACATTTTATATGTCAAGAAACATGTGAATTAGGATATAAGTGTAGTTAATATACAGTATACATTGAAAGATAATCTGTATCTATAGTGATCCATCTTGTTTGTATAACTTAAAACTATGTATTACCATTATTTCGTCGATTAGTAGCCAAAACACTGGTTGGCGGTCGAGGGGGTAACGCCGGTGGGGTGTCCGTTTTCGCGGGGGGCGGAGGGCCGGGATCATCTGCGCATGCGTATTGTGCTGATGCTGGCTTGCATGTACACGCCACCTGATACTGGAACAAGAATTAACTTATTAAATTATGACGTCATGTGCTTGTTATGGGAGTTAGTTAAAAAATGTAATAAAGAGTTTTTTGTTAGAATTCTGAGTAATATTATAGTGTTTTACTTGTGGAGTAATTAGACATGATTGGAAAATAAAATTCAACACATCAGTGTTTTTCGGGCTGTTAGGCCGCCTTAAGCGAAAAGAGGTTCTCGACGTTAAACTATTAAGAATTAATTAATTATTCGAGCAATTGAGGAGCTAGCATCTCCTGACGATGCCCTCCGTTAGTGATGGCGAAACGTCGAGATCCTCTTCTCGCTTACGTCGGCCTGTTCGGCCCGAAAAACGATGATATGCTGAACGAGGACAGTGAAAGCCTTACACAATTTATTAACATAAAATTAAACTGTCAAACGAACACAAAATAAGTCTACCTCTTAAAAAGACTAACATACAATTTAAATGGCGCGATTGAATTAGGTCAAACTCTTCTATACCTTATGCAAATCGGAAGTGACGGAAGCTGCAGTATTGCACTCCGGGCACGCGTCCGGCGCGGGAGTGCTTCGCGCTGACGTCACGTCCGCCATTGACATTGCTTTCGCCAGACCTCTGTAAAGGATATTAATATTAATTAATGCGTACAAATTAAAGAGTAATAAGCAAAAATACGTTCGCCCCATGCCCCACGAAGAAAACGGAATTTCACACACTACGTCTATCTGTTGCAATTACTAACAATTATAATACCATTTATCTATACTAATGTATAAAGCTGAAGAATTTGTTTGTCTGTTTGAACGCGCTTATTTCAGCAACAACTAGTTTGAAATGAAAAATTATTTTTGTGACATATGGAGGAATCGGATGATAAAAATCATCTTTAATGGTTTCGCTGCGTGCCCTGTGAAAATATGTAAGCAATAATAATTCCTCTTTTATTGTCTGCAATAGTATATGTCTATCTTTTAAGATTAACTTGCAAAAGTGACGAGACACGGACAATGTCGTTGCTAACGTTTCTAAAGATGTGGAGGTTTGCAAAAGCATTCATTTTTATCTTAAGAACTACTGATTCGAACTCAATAATTATTTTTATTTTGGATTGATCTTATGTCGAGGAAGGCTTTTAGCCTATATAGTCGAAACATCACGATTGGTCTATACATAATGCGATGAATAGAATCGAAGAAACGGTGAAAATGTGAAAATAATAAGGCGTTTATAAGTTACGTGAATTTAATAACGCTAAAATTTCTGGCATTGTATAAAATATATTGTTAGCGTTATTATATTGTATAACATGATACTGTCCGTTAAGTAGATAGTAGGTATTAACAGCTTTTTATCATTCCAACACGCAAACTCCGCAATTACGAACTTATTCATCCAGGCGCGACATTTGCGGGAACGTCAAAAAACGTGAATAAACAACCAGCGCATAGACAACTCGTGAAATTGCAGACGGGGGGGGCGAGATGTGGACTTAATTACACCAGGGTAACAGAACAACCCTCGTACGATAGGTTTTAATTGCGGCTAGAGAAAAACGCAATTGAGCGTTTGTTCACCCTTCACGGGGTTTGGGTGTACAGTGGTTTTGCAGGAGCCATTGAAAACTAATTGAGTTTTTTATTCCGGTTAGAAAGGTGAAGCAAGCGTTATATTGAAAAATAGAACGTATTTAAATAAAATTTTAATTTGTATGACAGATCATAATTATGCAATAACATGGTAGATATAATGTTAAGTATTGTCTGTAGCTGGACGTATGTTGCAAAAGGTCGTTATAACTCATGTGGAAAATTTTGAAAGAGGGTAATGTCTATATTAAAAGTCCTACCTTGTTAGATTTTTTTTTTTTTTTTTTTTTTTTAAAAAAAAAAAAAAAAAAAAAAAAAAAAAAAAAAAAAAAAAAAAAAAAAAGAGGGGGGGGGGGGGGGGGGGGGGGGGAGAAAAAAAAAAAAAAAAAAAAAAAAAGAGAAGGGGGGGGGGGGGGGGGGGGGGGGGGGGGGGGGAGAGAAAAAAAAAAAAATAAAAAAAAAAAAAAAAAAAAGAGAGAGGAGGGGGGAGGGGAGGGAGGGAGGGGGGGGGGGGGGGGGGGGGGGGGGAAAAAAAAAAAAAAAAAAAAAAAAAAAAGAGGGGGGGGGGGGGGGGGGGGAGGAAAGGGGGGGGGGGGGGGGGGGGGGGGGGGGGGGGGGGGGGGGGGGGGGGGGGGGGGGGGGGGGGGGGGGGGGGGGGGGGGCCCCCCCCCCCCCCCCCCCCCCCCCCCCCCCCCCCCCCCCGCGGGGGGGGGGGGGGGGGGGGGGGGGGGGGGGGGGGGGGGGGGGGGGGGGGGGGGGGAGAGGGGGGGGGGGGGGGGGGGGGGGGGGGGGGGGGGCCGCCCCCCCCCCCCCCCCCCGGGGGGGGGGGGGGGGGGGGGGGGGGGGGGGGGGGGGGGGGGGGGGGGGGGGGGGGGGGGGGGGGGGGGGGGGGGGGGGGGGGGGGGGGGGGGGGTTTGGGTTTTTTTTTTGGGGGGGGGGGGGGGGCGCGGGGGCCCCGAAGGGGGGGGGGGGGGGGGGGGGGGGGGGGGGGGGGGGGGGGGGGGGGGGGGGGGGGGGGGGGGGTTTTTTTTCCCCCCCCCCCCCCTTTGGGGGGCCCCCGCGCGGGGGGCGGGGGGGGGGGGGGGGGGGGGGGGGGGGGGGGGGGGGGGGGGGGGGGGGGGGGGGGGGGTTTTTGGGCGGGGGGGCCCCCCCCCCCCCCCCCCCCGGGGGGGGGGGGGGGGGGGGGGGGGGGGGGGGGGGGGGGGGGGGGGGGGGGGGGGGGGGGGGGGGGGGGGGGGGGGGGGGGGGGGGGGGGGGGGCGGGCCCTTTTTTTTTTTGGGGGTTTTTTTTTTTTTTTTTTTTTTTTTCCAAAAAACCAAAAAAAAAAAAAAAAAAAAGGGGGGGGGGGGGGGGGGGGGGTTTTGGGGGGGGGGGGGGGTTTTGGGGGGGGGGGGGGGGGGGGGGGGGGGGGGGGGCCCCCGGGGTTTTTTTTTTTTTTGGGGGGGGGAAGGGGGGGGGGGGGGGGGGGGGGGGGGGGGGGCCGGGGGGGGGGGGGGGGGGGGGGGGGGGGGGGGGGGGGGGGGGGGGGGGGGGGGGGGGGGGGGGGGGGGGGGGCCCCCCCCCCCCCCCCCCCCCTTTTTTTTTTGGGGGGGGGGGGGGGGAAAGGGGGGGGGGGGGGCGGGGGGGGGGTTTTTTTTTTTTTTTTTTTTTGGTTTTTTGGGGGGGGGGGGGGGGGGGGGGGGGGGGGGGAAAGGGGGTTTTTTTTTTGGGGGGGGGGGGGGTTTGTTTGGGGGGGGTTGGGGGGCCGGGGGGGGGGGGGGAAAAAAAAAAAAAAAAAAATTTTTTATTTTTTTTTTGGGGGGTGGGGGGGGGGCCGCGTCCCCCAAGCACAAAGATATAGTTAATAGAGTTAAGGGAGACAGTCTCCCCGTGACCAGGACTGCTGCAAAGCATCCGAAACGTCGCGCCAAAGCTAAAAATCATTTCCAAATAAGTTTAACTAATATATCGCGTTTTAAACCGTTAAAGTGTTTTATTTAAATGTGTACTACTCGCGTAAACTATAGACAGTATATATAGTTAATAGTTTTTAAATTAATTTTAGAGATTTAAATAAGGAGAGTGTAAATATTATTTCACATACTATTTGAAATAATTTTAGTGGTTCGCAAATAAAGGTATTCATTTGATTTAATTGTGTGTAGTTCACGCAGTAGTATACATTTATAAGCACATAAGGTTTAACGTGCAGAATATATTAGTTAACTCATTTAAATTTATTTTAAATCCTAAACATGGGGCGTTTAGAATGCTTGGAAGCAGTCGTGGTCACGGAAGGACTGAAGATGAAATAGTGACAAATAACAAAGTCAAATCTGCTACTCTAGCGCCACCTGTTTCGTCGTAGTTGGCATTTAGAGAAACTACTGCTTGGTCCGGAATAAAAAAATCCGCGTCTTCCTTTTTAAACTATCCTCAAGAACCGTTTTATTGTAATAAAATTTGGTCGAATTACTTATTGCAAAAGAATGTTTGCCAGGTAAGCTGATAAGCAGTAGATAAATATAAATAAAGTGCGACCAGACATCGTAATATAAGGTTTAAGGGTGTTCGCAAGCCAGCTAAATAGTCTATATCTATAGCGTACGGAACCACAAAAACTAGTAATAAAGCAATTAATAGTAAGGATTCACGGAAATGTGGCAAGTTGAAATGTTGACAGACCGCTTCGCTGGGGGGCGATGACCGCCATTCAATCATAACTGACACGGATTATATCACAGATCGGTTTATATGTTTCAAAGATGCGCGAAGTTTGACATTTTCATTACGTTGACATCACTTTAAAAATCATTAATAAGAAGTAATTCAAACGGTATTGGTGCAAAGCAACGACAGACTTATATGTTGTATATTTATTGTTATACGTATTTGTTTGCATTTGAAGCGTGAAGGTAAATTATTAAATGAATAAAATAAACCACTTTCCACAACAATATGTTTTCTAAACTAAATTGTTGAAATACGTAGCTTATTTTTATTCTTATGGTTAAAAGGAAATAAAAGAGAGATAACATCATCTATATCCCCCCCCCCGCCCCCCAAATACCACGTAGATAAAATAAATCGTACATGAGTTAACTAATATATTTCGCGTACATATTAATGTTTTTACTTTGAAAAACTATCAAAGTGGTAAAGGGATTTTTAGTATTATGTTAACTAAATATTTTATCGTACAAATAAGCCTTATATCTAACGTCATTCGCTATGACATTATAAATGACTTCACATAGCATACCTAAATGTATAGAGAAATTGGTCTTCCGGCATATGGCAGCCACACAGCTGCCTACACAAAAACCTATTGGACTATATTTAACCCTGGTGGAGGGCTGGTCAATAAGAATTACCCGAGTTGCTATAGAAATGTTTTGCGTCGTAAATGCAACGATTTTGAGACTATTTGTGTACAGCTGTTGACTTCCGCAATTACACCAAAAGATGGCGCTTTTTATGTGTAAGTGTATTACTAATATATTAAAAGAAATCAAAAACTCACAGCCTAAGACGCTACCTTTGTAATTGTACAACTTAAAGTTAAGTATGTAATCGTTCTGTGCTCTGCCCGACGGAAACTTTTTCCCCAATTAAACCCAATATTCTAGCGATGAATGCCCAATGCTAGACTGTTCGATTAATACTTAAGCGATAGAGACAGTAAATAACTCGGTTATAAAAAAAATAATTTAATAAACTTTTTCCCACGGTGTAAAGTGAAATCATCTCGGGGCTATGACTGCTGCAAAGCATTCGAAACGTCGGGCCGTAGTTAAAATAAATTGTAAACAAATTTACTAATATTAAATATTTCGCGTTTTAAACAGTTAAAAGTGTTTTATTTAAACTATAAGGTGTAGAAAAGATGAATTGTAGAGCTTATAGAAGATTTTTATACACGTAGTCATAAAAAAATGTGGACTTGGTATTTTATAAAAAATAACTCAAATTTAACAAAAAATAATAATATTTTTTAAGTATAATCTCGCCCCCAATAACAAATATAGCTAAGG